ATGCAGGAAACCTTATGGAAGAAGAGGAAGATAGAAAGACTTGGAGGGGACTGGAACTCCACAAGGAGAACAACAGAGCCAAAATACCTGAGAACAGGGGGCCTGCAGAAACCAATACTACAACCAAGGACCATGCATGGAGAGGACCTAGACCCCCTTGTTCAAAGGAAGCCAATAGGCTGCTTAGTTTCCTTATTTTCTTTAAAACACAGAATTATTCTTGGAATGTGTTCTCATGCTCCTCCTGGGTGTAGCAGATGGAAGGGAGTTTACTTCAGCTGTTATTATTCAGATACCTCTATGGAAAAACATGTTTTTGCCACGTGATGCTTGTCCTTGTGATTGAACACCTTACTCATGTTAGTCTTCTTAAAGCTCAGGGTTCACATTGTCTGAAGGTCTGAACAGAGTTGGCTTTGCATGAGACTTTAGTCCACCTCATTTTTAGGCCCTGCTCTCCCAGGTTCATGTCACCAACTAGAGTGATAAACACTTTAAATTCACAGGTTCTTTGTTATTATTAACCTTTAACATGTATAGAACTAATGTGAAATAATGAAAGAGATTAGGATAAAGCTTCTAGGGTATATAGCAAGATTCTATCTCAAAGAAAAAAAAAACACAAAAAAGGAATAATATAATTTCCTTCTCAAAAGCTGTACTATGTACCCCTTTGCCAAGCAATACTTCTTCCACTTGACTAGAAAACTTACATGTAAAATATATAGAATGCTCATGTGTTAACATACAGAATTATTTAGGCTATTTAGACTTTAATGCATGTGTTTTTTCTTGTAATATATTATTTTTTGTAATATGAGTGAGGTAACTCAGACCCAGAAAGACACACATGGTATGTACTCTCATAAGTGGATATCAGCCTATAGTACAGTATAACCATATGACAGTCCATAGGCCTAAAGAAGCTAAGTAACAAGGAGAGCCCAAGGAAGATGTTTGAGTCCCACTCAGAAGGAGAAACAGAATAATTATTGGAAATGGATGAAGAGACAGAACTGGGTGGGAGAGGGTGTGGAGAGAAGAAAAAGAGCGGGCATCAGATGTGGAGAGAGTGGGGATGGGAGGTAAGAGGGTGGGGAGAAAGAAGAGAAACTGAGAGGGGGGATCTCTGAAACAAGCTGGAGACCTGTGACAGGGGAGGCTCCTGGGTGGATATAGAGGTGACTAGCTGAAACTTCTTTTTTTAATTATATTAATTACAGTTTATTCACTTTGTATCCCAACTGTAGCTGCCTCCCTAATTCCCTTCCAATCCCACCTTCCCTCTCTCATCTTCTCCCATGCCCCTCTTGAAGCCCACTGATAGGGGAGGTGCTCCTCCCCTTTCATCTGACCCTAGCTTATTAGGTCTCATCAGGACTGGCTGCACTGTCTTCCTCTGTGGGCTGGTAAGGCTGCTCCCCCATTAGGGGGAGGTGATCAAAGAGCCAGCCACTGCGTTCATGTCAGAGATAGTCCCTGTTGCCCTTACTATGGAACTCACTTAGATACTGAGCTGCCATGGGCCACATCTGTGCAGGGGTTCCAGGTTATCTAAAATATATAAAGAATTCAAGAAGTTAAAAAACAACAAAACAAGTAATCCAATTAAAAATGGAAAACAGAAAACAAAGCTAAACAGATAATTCTCTGTAGAGGAATATCAAATGACAGAGAAATGTCATTCTTGACACTTAAAGACATGTTAATGACTTTAATGACACTTAAAGAAATGTTTAACAGCCTTAGTCATCAGGGAAATGCAAATCAAAACAACCCTGAGATTTCACCTTATACACATCAGAATAGCCAAGATCAAAATCTCAAGTGACAACACGTGCTGGAGAGGATGTGGAGCAGCTTCTTGCTATAGTGGACATGTTGACTGAAGTGGCCACTTTCTAGCCATTTAGGACTTCCAGTGGAGAGAGGGGCACCAACCATCCACAAAAACTTTAACTGCAAATTTACCCTGTCTACAAGATGTGCAGAAATAAAGATGAAGCAGAGATTGAAGGAATGGCCAACCAGTGATAGACCTAATCTGACACACATCCCCTAGAAGAGAGCCAACCCCCAAAAGTATTAATGATATTCTTCTATGCTCGCAGAAGGAGCCTAGTGTAACTGTCCTCTGCGAGGTCCACCCAGCAGGGGACTGAACAGATGTGGAGACCCATAGTCAAACATTAGGCTGGGCTCACAGAGTCTTATGGAAGAGTAGGGGCAAGGATATAAAGACCCAGAAGGGACAAGAACTCTTCAAGAAGTCCAGCAGAGTCAACTAACCTAGGCCCGTGGGAGCTTACAGAGACTGAAGCACTAACCAAAGACTGGACCTAGACCCTGACACGTATGAAGCTGATGGGCAGCTCAGTCTTCATATAGGTCCCATAGCGAATGGAGTAGGGGCTCTCTGACATAGACTCTGTTGCCTGCTTTTGGCTCACTTTCCTGTAACTGGGCTCCCTCATCTGGGCTCAGTGGAAGAGGATGTACTTAGTCCTAATGCGACTGGATGTGTTGCAGTGGGTTTGTACAAGGTGGGGACTGGGTGCACTCTTGTTTTCTGAGGAAAAAGAAAGGAGAGATGGGAGAAGATGGTGCAAGGATGGGACTAGGACGAGAGGAGGGAAGGGGCTGGAATTGGGATGTAAAATGAATGAATAAATAAATTTAATAAAATGTAACAAAGAAAAACGTTTGATGCAATCATTCCAAATCAGATATAAATCCTAAAATATCACACTTTATAACAAATAGTAAGAAATAAATTGAACAAGATAATCTTTCCTAACATCTGGAAGTACATACTCTAATAAACCAAAAACATAAGAAAGCAAATAAGCAGATACTATGGTCAAGAAGAGGATGGCAGTGGGCCATGAATTCCTGCAATTACATCTGTAACTTCCCTTTATTATATCATAGCCAAAGACAAATCTTGAAAAATACAAATCTGAAAAAGAAATGCAAATATGGTTATTTAAAAATGATTTATGTATTCATTGTTTTGCGAGTGTGTGCTGAGCAAAATGTATGGTGCAACACAAGCATGTAGGTACTTGCGGAACAGAAAAAAGTTTCAGATCTGTGGAACTGGAGTTAGAGGCTGTTGTGAGCTGCCTGATGTGGTGGTAGGAACAAAACCTACATCCTGGGAACACAACTCAGGCCCTCTGAAAGAGCAGAAAGTGCTCTTAATTTCTGACCTTCCTCTCCAGCTCCACTAACCTAAATATTTTATGCAAACACGGGAATATAAATATTTTAAGCTTATGACATGACATTTCTAACCTGTTAATATATCTAACTCAAGTTAAACTAACAATGACATAACTCCTTAGAATATCATGGATTAACATGTTTTGTTTAATTAAAAAAGAAGTGTCACAGAAGTATGTTGCTAGAATGACAACTCAGAGTTGGGAATGCCTATATTAAACTTATATACAAAATGAAACAAGAAATACATCCTTGGTGTAAGAGGCACAGTCATAAAATAGGCATTTAATTTTTTTGCTATGTCTGAAAAATCTAACAATAACTACAAATGGTTATTATATATAAGATTATATATATAATCTTAATGGTTGACAATAAATGGATTACACTCACCCTCTGGAAGTTAAATGTTTATTTTAGGCCTTTGATAGAATGTTCTAATTTGTAACATTAAAAAAAATCCCACATAATGTTTATATTATAATATAATGTATATATATTATATATATATATATATGTTACTAATTTACACAAATAATTTTTTATTTTACCATAGTGTTCAAAAGCCCCACTCCACAATATGAGAACTCATCCAGGTATAAATAAAAATACTTTGCTAGCATTAGTTGTTGTAAAGTTGTCCTAAGACATCATTAGTTATGGACTACACCAAACCATGGTTTCACCTGGGGCCCAGTGTAGCCCTCAAAACTCACTCCAATCGGTAGCAGAAATCACTGCCTTCTCAGGCCATGCCTCACTTCCCCATTACTTACTTCTTGCTGGAGTTTAGCTGAGAGGTGCTCTTAGCTCCTACATTAGGTGCTGTCCAGAGCTTGATCACCATTCAGTGTGTTCCTGAATTCCTCTTTTGCAACCTGGACCATCACTCTTATATTTAAATGTGACTAGCGATGTAACCAATCACAGTAGGAAAGCCCACCATGTTCAGCAAGTCTTGAGCTGTACAAGGTGTGCACACAGGAAAGACTTGCAACCACCAGAGGGCGCGCTCCCTGGTAAACATTTGTTCTGCAGCAACAAACCTTCTGTTGACAGGAACCAGAAGCACTACATTTCATTTCTGCCGCTTGTACGCTTCATCTCTAAGAGTTCAATGACTTTTCTTTACATCAGTTTGCTTCTCTTCGCACCGTGTTCACTTTTTTTATTACTTGAAACATTTCTTGAATATATTTTAATGGTTGTTGTTGTAATGTCTTTATTTGTACAATTTATTGTTGCTTACAAATCTATTTCTGTACAATGATTTTTCTGCTTATGTTCATGCTTTCTAAGCATGTTTAAAAAGCATAGTTGGATGTTTAACATTTAATTTCATATTTTTTTCATGAAAGACTTTTTATGACTTAAAGTAGTATGACTAAGCTCTGACTAGACGTCAAAGAACCCATAGAAACGATAGAACCCATAGTTCACTTTGTTATGTTATGTTCAATCTTTTTTCCTACAGTATGCTGCATTTTAGACTAATTTAATCGCACTACTGTAGTGTGACTGTTAAGAGCTAGTGAATGCCAGCACAGTGAATATTAGTACAGTACATTAATACCCTCAACTTTAAGATGTTAACAATAAATATAATGGAATGGAAGAATAATAACTGTTCCTGATTCTCAGTAGCCACATTATAGAAATACAACTTACCCTCTTTACAAATATTTCTCATGAATATTTATTTTAAAACAGCCCATGAAACAAGAATGAGTCATGAGTGACATACAGTATGAGTCATGAGGTGACATCAGTATTACCTTTGTAAAATGAATGGGCAAAACTCTGCTCAGGCATCAGCTTGGCAAGAAGTCCATGGTTCAGACTTGGATGAGGGATAGATGGTATTACCACAACTGTGGAGAGAATCATGGAGCCAAATTTAAAAAGGAAAGTGACAGTCTGTAATATAATCCACATGAAAGTTGCATCACACTTTTATAGTACTGCAGCAGGCAAAAATTATGGAGCCAACTTTGCAAAGGAGAGTGAGTCTGAATATAGTCCACACCAAAGACTCATGGCACTTCTATAGTACTGCAACAAGCAAACAATACTAAAGAGCACATCTCTGAAGGCGGGAAAGTAGTGCCAAGAAAAATGAAGCATACAATATACTCACCAAGTAGAGTACTTTGAGCAACATACATGAAAGAAAATACACACGGAAAACTAGAAAACTAGACCTAAAAGGTTCACTATAATAGTGCTCATTTTATATTTACATGTCACATACATGCTTTAAAAGGACATCAACCTGAATGTCAAGCTGATGTCTAACTGGCAGAATAAAATTAAAATAATACTGATAATGAAATAGTATGGCCTGAAATGAGAAAATCCTCTGACTAAAATGTGATCTTCTGTCTCTTGAAGCAGTAAAAAGAAAATATTTGTTACACTTAACAAGATGCAGTGGTTTGACCACAAATCTCTATTCAGTTTTAAAACATCCATTAATAAAGCATATGTCTTTACTTAGTAAAGAATTCTACCTATAAGTTAATCCAATAGCACAAGAAATAAGCATTGAGTTTTTAAGGTTATAGTATGAACAACAGGAAAATGATCTTGATATAAACACTTATTAGGAAATACATCACAAAACATTTATAGTTTTCAAGCATAGTATGAAAGAACAATTGTCAGAGCATGGTCCAAGAATGGAATTGTGTGAGAATTCTGTGTACTTGTAAGAACAGTCCGAGAAAACAAGACAAGAGTCTTGTGATCTCGTTTTCTTCAAAACACAGAATTGTTCTTGGAATGTGTTTTCGTGTTCCTCCCAGTTACAGTGCATAATAGTCAGTTTACTTGTGATTACTCATTATTGTTTGCTGCTGTTGTTCTATTAAATTTTTAAACTATCCTTTAAATGCCTCTATAGAAAACCATATTTTTGCCATGTGTAGCTTATTCTTGTGATTGTATACAGCTTGAACTCATGAGAATTTTATTCATGTAACTTCTCCTTAACTATTTTTTATTTTTTTAAAAAAATATTTTTTAATATTAATTACAGTTTATTCACTTTGTAGCCCGGCTGTAGCCCTTTCCCTCATTCACTCCCAATCCCACCCTCCCTCCTTTATTTCCTCCTATGCCCCTCTCCAAGTCAACTGATAGGGGAGGTCTTCCTAGCTTATCAGGTCTCATCAGAACTGGCTGCACTGTCCTCTTGTGTAAGAATATAAATTGTCTGAAGCTATGAATAAAGCTGGTTATTGCTTGAGACTTTAGTCCAGCTCATTTATCAGCTCTATTCTCCCAGTTCCCACTGCTGCTACAGTGGTGGCAGCCAATAACGCAACAACTCCTGCAACACGAGTGTGTTGCAAATGACACCAGTATAACCCAATGTGGCTCACTGTTGTCTATGATGTTACTTCTCCTTAACTCTTTTAGTTAAAACTACTTTGTATAAACTTTTCACAACTTACACAAAATTTAAAATGTTTGTTTGCAAACATTTGCTTGCATATAATTGATATAATATTCAGATGTTGAATTAAGCCTTCACTTAGGAGGGAGCGGGAGGAGAGAGAGCAAAGAAGGGAAGGAGGCAATTTTTAAGTTAGGCAATAGAGACTGATATTTTACCCTATTTTTTACCTTGAATAACGATGTGGGAACCTATTTTCATGCTTATAAAAGTGACACAAGAAATGTGTTGAAAGACATGAGTGAACATAACCAAATGATTTGCATTTATTTTTACTCCTGGGAAATAGTTACCCCAAAGTGGCACGGACACACAAAAGTGATAGCAAATATATACAATCATAACTAGTACATTTGTGTGGAACTGCAGTGTACTAAATCAGTCTCTCTACCAATTCTGTAAATGTCTGACATATCTATGAGTAAGTACAGTTCAAACATGTACACAAAAGCGTTAGCAGGAAAGAGATAAATACAGGCGAAATGCCCAATTAAATACCTGTACTTGTTGGTGAATTTATTTCTTGTCTGATGTTTCTACCCGGCTGGCTTCCAGATCTTGCAGTCTCTCTCTGGGGTTCTAATATGTCCCGATACTTAGACACCATCAGAACAGAGATGAAGTAAACAACAGCCAGAGCTAAGAACTGTGCCTGCTTGCTATCATCCTGTGTAAAATGAAAAGGCAGTTTGACACTAGAATTTTTAAGATATAAATATTTTTGTTTTATTACACATTAAACTTTGGTTTACAAGATGCTAGGGAGATGGCCTAGTAGTTAAAAACACTTGCTCCTCTTACAGAGGACCAGAATTCAGGTCCTAGCACCCACTTCAGGTGGTTCACAATGATATAATACTGTATCTCCAGGTGATCTGACTTCCTCTCTGGCCTCTTTGGACATCAAACATATACATTAACGCCCCAAATTAAAACAAACTAAACATTTGGAGCCATCTCAGATGGTTTAGGGGATAAAGTCACCTGCTTTTGATCCTAGGCAACCAAACGGTAGAAGGCTCCATAACACTGTCATCTGGCCCTCACCCATGCACTGTGGCAAGTGAGCATGGGTAAGGGTATTGTGTGCAAGCACACACACACACACACACACACACACACACACAAAATAAATGTAATTTCAAAAATAGTTAAGAACTGATAATTCTAAATTGTTATTTATTAAGTACTATGTTAAATATATACACACAAATACCTAAAATGTTTCAACTGACTTATAAGCCGAAATAATTTTAAAAATTAACAGTAAAATTTTTGTTCAATGTGCTACAAAATATCACCCTGTTCTCTCATTATTTTTTTTTTTACTTTTTTTCTCTCACTATTTTTATCTGTGATTTCCTTATTAAAAATGCTGATGAAAAGAATTAATGATCTGGGGTTTTTTTTGTAAATCTGGATTTAAACATTATAAGCAATAAGTAAGGTTAGTAGAAAAAACTTACAACTAGAAAGCATGCTACTACCTGAACAAGAGGCTATGTGGACTTGAAGATGGCAGAAATTCACAAACAATGGCAATCATAAAATAAGAATTTCATGCAGTCCCATTATGGAACAGAAGTTTAAGTATGGAACAGAAGTTTAACATATGTAATGGATAATTAAAGTTATTACTGTATTAACAGGTTAAAAGATGTAATAATCTAGTTTTTCTGATAGGGAACATGAATTCTCAAACACTACAGATATTTGAGGTGCTTATTTCCAAATCTCAATGATGAAATGGTATTTGGCCACAGAACAGTACAGTAAGAAAGGGTCTGAAAAAAGAGGACATTAGTTTGAAGAGGCATTAAGGTGTATTAGGAAAGAAAGCACCATAGCAAGTTTGTTATCCCCAAAATACACTGAGCAGTATACAGCCACAGGCGCTCTTTTCCCCAAAGCTGAGATGAGCAGGGAAAATAACATGAAGACTAAATAAGAAGAATTCTCAACACATTCTTGTTAGATCACACATCTAAAGAAGCTGGACACCTGTAAACTTTTGATCAGCTAGTAAGACTGGTATTTCCAAACCAAAATTATAGTAAGCAGCAATGGGCCATCAGGACAGAAATATGAAAAAGAAATTAATTACTTTAATAACGAACAGTCTATCCACCTAAGGAAAATTCTAATATAACTCAGAATTTATATACATTTGTCAGAAAGAAAACAAACGACAAATATTTACTGATTATTTGCTATGCTCAAACAAAATAAGCATACTAACAGAGGAAATGATCAAAATAATAAATTTATTCTGAACTATTGTAAATTAAGTCTTCCATATGCTGGGTCAGATATAGCCCATAGACTCAGTCTCCAAGTGGGTTCTCTAGTAAGGGGAACAGGGACTTTCTCTGGCATGAACTCAGTAGCAGGCTCTCTGATCGCCTCTCCCTGGGGGATACAGCCTTGCCAGTCTACAGAGAAAGACAAAGAAACCAGTCCTGATAGGCTATAGTCAAATAGAAGGGGAGGAGGACATCCCCTATCAGTGGACTAGGGGAGAGGCACAGAGGGAGAAAAGGGAGGGACAGTGGGATTGGGAGGAGAGGATGGAGGGGGCCACAGCCGGGATACAAATTTAATAAATTTCGATAACAATAAAAAGACAGAAAAAAGAGCTCTCTCCTTAAACTATATTTATCTGTGAATGTTATTAAGCCATCTTTTTAACTCAGATTCCTGCAGATACAATTTGTGAAACTAGGGGCCAGTGAGATAGTTCAAAGGGTACAGGCTTCTACTGCTCAAGCCTGCAAATCTGAATCCAATCTCTGCAAATCTGAATCCAATCTCTGTAACACTCATAAAGTTGGAAGGTGACAGTCCCTGTTCCCCTTACTAGGGAAGCCACTTGATACTGAGCTTTAATGGGCTATGTCGGAGCTGGGGTTCCATGCATAGTACCTGGTCGGAGAATCAGTCTCAGGCAAGTCCCTGTGCCCAGATATATTTGGTCCTTGTGAAGCTCCTGTTATCTCCAGGTCTTACTAACATTCTCTTCTTTCATATGATTCCCTGCACTCTGCCCAGGCATGAACTCTATGGCTAGCTCTTTGACCTCCCCTCCACCCTCCACTGGGAGGAGCAGCCTAGCTAGGCTGCAGAGGACATTGCAGCCAGTCCTGGTGAGACCTGATAAGCTAGGGTCAGATGGAAGGGGAAGAGGACCTCCCCTATCAGTGGACTTGGAGAAGGGCATGGGAGGAAATGAGGGAGGGAAGGTGGAATTGGAAGGGAATTAGGGAGGCGGCTATAGTTGGGATACAAAGTAAATAAACTGTAATTAATATAAAAAAATAAAAAGGAAAAAAAAGTTGGAAGGTGAGAATGGGCTCCATAAAGTTTTCCTCTGGCCTCTACATTTTTCTTTGGTATAAAAACTCCCCTCATATGTATCACAAGTACATATCTATACAATAATAAGGAATATTTTTAAATGAAAGCAAATGTTTTCCCATGCACAAAAGTGACTTCCATTAATACCTTAGGAGGTCACTTTTTATACCTAAATAAAGGAAACATTGAGAATAACAAAATATTCATTATGTAAAAGTGGAGTCAAGAATCTAAAAGGCAGAACCAGGTAACCTAAGATAAATCTGATTAGTGCTCCAAGACTATCTCTAATCTTGGAATAAAAAATAAGGTTCAAAATTTCTCATCATTGTGTGAGCAGCAGCAGTGTATGCACGCGTGTGTCTTCTTGCCTGTGAGGGTGCGTGTGGAGGCCGGAGGTTGACACTGAGAGGCTTCTCGTACCCTCTACACTTTAGGAGAGTTCCTCACTGAGACAGAAACTTCCTCTGCAGCACCAGCTTTAGAATTAAGGATGTGCAGCACACCATGCATGGCTCTTCTGCAGGTGCTTGGGATCTGAACTCAGATCCTCATGCTTCTGCAGTAGGTACATAACCCAGGAGCCATTTCCCCAGGCCTGCACACACACATACCATTTCAGAAGCAAACTATCATTAAGTCTTTGGAGATAACTAAGGCTCAATCATTTTACCATCAGGTATGCAATATGTTGAGATACCAGGTAAAGACAGAGTTACAAACATAACACTGTTGCAAGTTGATTTTTGCTTATTTTTTTTTTATGGAAGCCAAGCAGATTTACAACTTACCACATCTCGAAAGACAACAGCACGAAGGCGATTGATATCAACATCCTGAAGAAGTCTGTCAGGATCCTTGATAGGAGAAAGGTTACCTGGGACATTTTCTAAGGGAGTCTTGGAAACAAAAGGGAATTATTAAGAAATACCATATTCTTGAAAATTATTTAGAAACATCACTTATAGTATTTTCTACCTTAGACTGAGTCTGCCACAATATTTCCTAAATTACTGACAGCAAAACTCAGGCACAGGGCTATTGTTCCCCTCTGTTTGTCATGCCTTCTCTTCTCAGTGTTCCTATTTGCTATCAACATAGGTGCTTCTAGGGCCTCATATAAGCAGAAAGCTGTATAAGAAAAAAAATGATCTTTCCTTTCAGAAGAACAAAGGTCAAGCCTCTGTTATCTGGCTTAATGTTTGTTACTAAAATGTCCAATTAAAAATGCATTCAGTTTTCTTAATTTATCATCATACATATAAATATGAGATTAAAATATTAATATTTAACATTATGCAATTACAGGTGTAGTCATGTCACAATCCATTTTTAAAGATAAGCTCTAAACCTAACTTAGTCATACCTCAGTAGAGTTGGTTGACATTAGAGAATATACCATTGAAATGATTTTCTACAGTTGAAGAAACAAACAAAAGAAAAATCTAAGGATTTTAGATAATATGCCCGTAACATAAATTAGCAGTGCAGCAAGTTACTTTTCACTCAGTGCTTTTTCGGTTCCTCAATGTGCTAAGGATGCTTTGGATTAAATCTGACAATGTGCGCATATAAAACTGTAAATGCAAATTTTGCACATAACAGGAATGTGCTTATAGTCCAGCTCCTACTTCTCTATAGATGCCATTGTGATGTTTCACTCCTAAAGGAGGGTGTGAAGCTCCGGGGGAGCATGGTATAGCAAAAAGATCAGTATTTGAAGGCTGACGGTTCCATGGTTCAGGCCACCCTAGGAACCACTATGTACTTTGATACATTATTTTTGTAAATAGTTTCCATTAAAATCAAGCTTACCTACTCTATATGAAATTGTAACTGCACCAAAGTTCAACTACATTATGTAAAATATAGCCTTATACTTCTAGCATGGGATAATTATGAAAAGTTACATACAAAATACAGCACATATAGTATATTGAAAATATTTTAATATATATACCATTTTACATTTTAAAAGATTCCCCTAATCCCATTTGACTTTGTAAAGGTTATGTGAGGACAAGTTTAAATTGATGTTTCTGGGTTTAAACAGTATGAAAATGAGGTCCAGATGATAGGCCAGTCATACAAGACATCCAGATTCCTACCATAAAGTCCTTCTGCTGGATTAAAAATCAACTATGGCTTACTGCCTAAAGTGCCACATTTGAAACACATGAACAAAATATCCATCACTCATTTTTATACTTCATACTGATTGTGCTCAGCTAACAAATCGAATCTTTTCTTAATAGTCCAATATCACCACTTACCCACTTCTGACTAACAAACCTCTTCCTAGTGACACACTCACTAACTCAACTAAATGACACCAGTTTCTGTCTCATTGGGTATGTGGTCTGTACACAGCAAGAATAACCGCACTTGGTTTGAGGACTGTGGAAGACTTCCTGTCAGCCACTGTCGTTTATTTGGTAAGAAGAGTGCAGGCACAGAAGCCTCTCCCAAGCAGAGAATTAGTTCTGCATCTCCTAACAGTAAGAGGAGCAAGAGTGGCACCAGCAGCTCCTGCACGTTGATCGCACCTCAGGAACCTCTACGTATAATACCTTATTTTTGCATTTTAATCAAACAAACATCAGATAAGTTAAGATTCCCACCCACTTTAAAGTACTGGATATCTGAGGCATGAGGGACAAAGAAATCTGTCTCAGGGTCCTCTCTATGTTAAATGGCAGAAGCCAGAATACGTCTCAGGAGCATTTCTTCCCAATTGACCATGCTCCAGGTTCTCTGCGGGCACAGAGAAGCACAGCAGCGTCACTAGCCTCACTGCCTGTGCAGTGAGTGTGAGCCAGACAGCTGACACGTCCACACTTCACTTTCCAAGCAGGGAAGATCACTGTGGAGTCTTGTCAGCACTAAAACAATATGCGGGTCATATTATCTCAAGAATGTTTCACTGATAGCAGTGAACAAGGAGCTGTAACAGTGTAAATAACCAACAGACTTTACGCATGTCCAGTTGGCTTAGCAGAAGCTATAGTGATTCAAGCAATGGAACTTAAGCTTCTATGTTACCTCTTCAGTTGTTGAGTAAAAAATGACTGTGTGAACGCTGAACATTTAATTACAAGTGTAGGGAGTGACAAAGAGACATGCTGCCTTTACCGAAACCATCAGAGGAGCTGTCCCTGGTATCAAAAAATCTTTGCCCTAGGAAAGCAGCACCTCAGATGACCTACATGAATACATTTAAGACAGGTAAAATATAAGAAAATATACCCCAAGATAGGGAAAATATACAAAAGTTTAAGAAGTCAAAATCTTTAGATGAGCTAAATGAGGTCTACTGTATGCATGAAAGGTCACAATCAAGAAAATGTATACACACAAGCCACAGCGTTCACAAAATCTTCAAAGTCATGAAGCTGCATGTAATATAATGTGTCAGTTAAACATGGGAAGAGAGCTCATTTGGAAAGAAAACTGCCAGTATATTCCAAACTATTATATACCATTCATTAATTTGATGGGCAGCAAATAACTAGTCTTCCACCCAAAGTTCATCCATTTAAAAATAAGCTTTGCTCACAGGCTGATTTCTGAAGATAAATGTAACTGTTTAAAGCAGAAATACCAGAACTCTCCAGTCCTATGTGCCAATGTAATTCTTTAAAACCTATTGGAAGGAATTACTAGTATCTTCTGCATTAATGTACAGGTGAAAATGTTAAGAGGTTAGCTAACCTTGCATATATTGCTAAGAAGCAAAGCCAGCACCAGAGCCTCAAGCCTACATAACTTTATACACCATGCTGCACATACTCAGAATGAAAAAGGACTGCATATTACCGGAGAAATGGCTGATTACCTTGGATGCTGCTGTGGCGCTCGCACTTTGTGGTGCTTCCTGAGGTTTACTGCTTCCATGGGAAGATTTGTTTCCCCTGTCTCTCTGTCTCTGTCGACATTCTAAACAGTTTCTCACAGCTACACAACAAACTAAAACATCAGAAAGATATTAAAATAGATTGTTGACATGGCTATATAAGAACATGTTTTCACCTTTTTAATATTTATTTATTTATTTATTTATTTATTACAATTTATTCACCTTGTATCCTGGCTATAGCCAACCCCCTCACCTCCTTCCAGTTCCAACCCACCTCCCTCTTCTCCTATGCCCCTCCACTAGCCTACCTCCTCCCCTTCTATCTGACCCTAGCCTATCAGGTCTCATCAAGGCTGGCTGCATTATCTTCCTCTGTGGCCTGGGATAAGAAAATGTTTTACATTTATTTCTTTTTCTGTATGTTTCCTTTTCTGCCGTCAATTATTATTTTTACAATTAATTAGATAAATATTAAATTATGATTTACAAAAATGAAAGTACAATACATATAGAATATATACTAAATAAAATAGTCATGTATTCCCAGTCAGATGAAACAGATCACCAGGGCCTCTCAGACTCCCAAAATAAGTCTTCCTAATTCTATAATCCTCCATCAGTGGGATCTGAAAAAGATCATCCTGAGTGAGCTATCCCAGAAGCAGAAAGATGCACATGGTATATACTCACTCATATAGACACATAATATAGGATAAACCTACTAAAATCTGTACACCTAAAGAAACTAATCAACAAGGAGGAATCTTGCTAAAATGCTCAATTCCTATCCAGAAAGGCAAAGAGGATGGACATCAGAAGGAGAAAAACGGGAACAAGTCAGGAGCCTGACACAGAGGACCTCTGAAAGGCTCTGCCCTGCAGACTATCAATGCAGATGCTGAGACTTATGGGCAACCATTGGGCAGAGTTCAGGGAATCTTACGAAAGAAGTGGCAAACAGTAAGATCTGGAGAGGACAGGAACTTCACAATGAGAGCAACAGAACCAAAACATTTGATCACAGGGGTCTTTCCTGAGACTGCTATTCCAACGAAGGACTATGCATGAAGATAACCTAAGACCCCTGCATAGATGTAGCCCATGGAAGTTCAGTATCCAAGTGGGTTCCATTGTAATAGGAACAGGGACTGTCTCTGACATGAACTGATTGGCCTGCTCTTTAATTACCTCCCCATGAGGGGGAAGCAGCATTAGCAGACCACAGAAGAAGACAATGCAGCCACTCCTGATGAGACTCAATTGACTAGGATCAGAAGGAAGGAAAAGAAGACCTCCCCTACCAATGGGCCTGGGGAAGAGCATGCATGCAGAGGGTAGAGGAAGGGAGGGATTGAGATGGGATGAGGGAGGGAACCACGGGGGGAGGGGGGATACAAAGTGAATAAAGTGTAATTAATAAAGAATTTTAAAAATCCAAATATTCTGCATCAATAAAAAGTTTAGCAACTTAAAATGCCTATGGGAGAAGACAGTTTAGTGGGTGAGAGCATTTGCTGTACAGGCATGGGGCCCTAAGATCAAATCCATTGCACCACCTAAAAGGCTACACATGGTCCTCATACTTATGAGAGGACAGCTCCAGATTCAATGGAGAATGACAAAGGATACTGGAAATAATCTTCTGACTTCCACACATGCATGCACTGGCTGGCATAATCTTACATATATACAAACATACACACACACACATAAGTTATGCAAATATACAATTTTACATACAGACACATTCATAACAGCCTTTAAAATGTTTAGTAATAAGGCTCTGCTCTTGCTTCACCTATCTTGGTGTTCCTACAGAGCACACCTTCCCCTTTCAGGCACCGTCCTCCTAAGGGTTATAGCAGCCATTTTTCCAGCAGGGAGCCTACACTCCTATTACTAGCTTGTAATCAGATTTTGAGCCACCATTTCTCTCACTTCCTCCTCGCCTTCCTTTAGTCATTAGAGTCAGGCCTCTTCTAGGTAAGGGATCAGTGTGTACAAAAATCCTTAATTGTTTGACTGCCAAAGATACAAACAAGGTTAACAAAGGGATCTGCGTTAAAATCATTTCAGTGATAAGTACAAGCCTTATTGATTTTTAAATAATTCTAAATATTTGACTGTATTTGAAGCAATAAATAATGATTCTGTGCAATCTCCAATATCATGATACAAGTTTTTAAAACTGAGTAATCCTGGGGATTACAATACAGTTACTAAGCTGCAGAATCACCAATCTGAATCAATGCTTTCGGTACCTCAGAGCTGCACAAATACTTTTAATTACACAGTGTGCCCCGTTGCCTTAGCGTACTTACCTAGCCTTAGGCACTGTCTCATTAGCCCTCCAGAAGACATATTTTTTTCAGCTTCAATCTCACTAAAGTTTAGCGAGCTGGCAAACACAAGGACATCAACCATAGCCATGAGTCGGCTGAGAAACGTCACTGCCGTCTCTGCCGACATGCCTTGTGTCACTTCAATGTTTTCCAGTTCCGTCTTTAAAAAAGGAGAGTTAATCTTATTTAAAAGTGGGGAATTTGGTACATAACATATATTACAGGACAACAGACATTTAGAAAGCTTAAGTAAGAACAAAAAAATCAAGATATTACTTCTCACAAGAATAATTTTTTTATCCCTAACCACTATTCTTAAATAAAATGTCCATTTAAAAACTAGTATTAGTTTAAAATACTGTATCAGTTGAATAAAAGATTTCACATAATTTCACCAAGATACTTAGAGACAACCACATACAACTTCTTATTCTAGTTTCAGTATAAAAGAGGTGGTGTAGCCCATGGCAGTTCAGTGTCCAAGTGGTTTACATAGTAATGGGAAGAGGGACTGCCTCTGACATAATCTGATTGGCCTGCTTGTTGATCACCTCCCCCTGAGGGGGGAGCAGCCTTACCAGGCCACAGTAGAGGACAATGCAGCCACTTTTGATGAGAACTGATAGACTAAGATCAGAAAGAAGAGGAGAACCTCCCCTATCAGTGGACTTGGGGAGTGACATGCATGCAGAAAGGGGAGGGAGGGTGGGATCGGGAGGGGAGGAGGGAGGGGCTTATGGGGGGATACAAAATGAATAAAGTGTAATTAATAAAAAATTTTAAAAAAGAAAGTAAAAAAAGAGGTATAAAATTAGCCTTTCTCTCCTAAAATTATCATTTCCATTTACAAAATGTGTTTTTCTTTCTTACAGACCTAATAAAAATGAACCACAGCAATTTTTCTTGCTAGAAAAAGAGTTGATTGTCAATACACACTAATGACTTATCTATTTTAGAATAATAAACTGAAATATTATAGTTTCATAAAATCTGAGGTCAAAATGACAGAAGGGCTACTTGTTTAGATACTTAACTGGTAAGCTATGACTCCCTAGCTGGAGGAGGCAGAGGAAATGGCATTGTTAAGCTGAGAGATAGACTTTCATTAAAATATTCTCTGTGATAAAATGTCATTTCCTGTTTTCAGAGAAATATTAAAATGTATTCTTTTAGTTAGAATGTATAACTCCATAAGTTACAAGCAATGGTGATATTTTTTCATGCTATACTAACACTATAATGATTTTATTTTATAACTAGAATTATTTTTCCTATTGCTAGAAAGAGCAAAGATAAGAGATGCTGTGCAAATAAAAATTCTATTTGAAGTTTCTGAAAATGGGCACACTATCTATATTGATTGATCTTACCTTTAACCAAATGGTAGAGTCAAGCACATGGAATCAATTCCTGACCCTACTGACTTTCACACTGTCCTCGAAATACAAGATGCTTGCATATTTGTTTTGTTCCTGACACAGCATCAGTTTTAAGCAGCTGTGACCACAGCTGAACAGTTATAAGAAAAAAATTCATTGCAAGTTTATTTTCAATTGTTCAAAGATGAAACACTGGCCGTTGCTTAAAACAGTCAAACTCTTTTAACAACTTTTCAATAAATTAGAATTTAGCTAATAAATTAGAATTTATCTGTAGACATGTTCTTAAATTCTTCATCATTTCAAATTGTTAAAATTAAGAGAGCTGTACCTTACTATAATATTTATTGCTTTAGTTTGCAGTTGGAATCTGCAAATTCAACTAGTGACATATGCTCTAATTTTAAAATAGTGACTTAGAAATTAATATTAAGTTCAGAATTATTCTACTAAAATGTCAAAATTAAAAGCAAAAGCTATTATTAACATGAGCAATAATCTACAAAACAACTCTTATTCTGTTCTATTAATTTACAAACATGATGTTATATAAGCTTCCTATAATAAAGTTTACTTTATTTATATAATTCTCACTAAACCTTCATATACATCTCATCCAACTGCTTTAATTGGAATTCAAATCTGATTGCACATAGGATTTATTAACATTGTTTTCATTGTATTATGACACTTACTGTTGTGAATAATAAAACTCACCAACATACTGGGAAAATAATCATCTTAATGAATTTTTAAAATACACAAAAGATATGCCTGATTAAAAGATGATATGAAAACTCAAAACAGAACCAAGTAAAAAGTTGTCTAAGTAAAAATAAAATTTAAAAATAAAAACCTAAAAATTACTGCAAAAGTAATACTAACCTTAGAACCCTGGACATGCATTAGACAAAACAGACAACAGACCAAAAAAGTACAAGAAAAAGAAAATTATTAAAATTAAATGAAAATACATGTAAAATTGAAACACAAAATAATATTTTAAAATTATATTTGATTATTTTATTAAAAACAAAATTCTCAGAATAGATATTCATTTTATAAAGTACATGATTATAATTAAGATTAAATATGAAACACTTAAAATTCAAATTTATTTAAATTTGTTTGAATAACTGTCCCCAAATATACACATGTACGTATAGCAAACACAGGAGAAAGAACACAAACTTTATGTCATAAAACAAGTATCTTCTCACGGATGGCTAATGAGACACTTTAGAGAGGGAATATAGATGCCCTGTTTACACTCTAACTCAGCACTGACTCAGCAGAAGTGACTCGGGGAATTAATTATTACTTACACCAACTCACGCCTAGACTTTTCTATGAAGAAGTTATATTATAATTTGTTTCCTCAAATATTCAGAACCTTTCCTATACAAAAATAAAACATTTATGTCATGACAACTTAAACCTCACATTCTGTGTCAGAAAATAACTCACTGATATGATCAGGCAAGACCTATAATATGAGCTTAGGTAACTCTGCATTTTAAGTTTGTTATGAATCTTGTCCATATACTAAAAATATTATAGATATTTTCACAATAATTACAAAATTCCAATTCCCTGAGATTTTATAACAAATAAATGTGAATATAAATTTGAAAATGTACTATTTTCATGGTATGGTCAGTCACTGGGAAGATATATATAAAAGAATCCTGAGACTATCAATAAGATCATTGTTACAAGATAAACAACATCAAAACCAAAAGTCTCATATTTTCTAACTCTACATCCTGTTAATAATGACTACAATTAAGACCCTCATCATGCTTCAAACAAAAGACAAAGTTGGTTTCGTTCTTTATGATGATGCAATTATTTGAAGAACCAGAAATGTCAGTTTCTATTATTTTCCTGGTACAGAGAAAATCAAAGCAGAGTTGACACTGTTCTGGATGGTTGACCAAAAAGATCACGTTAAAATCTTCAGTGACCACAAAAATAAAATAAAATAAATAAAACAAACAAAAAAAATATAAAAACATGAAAAAATATATTATTATATTATTCACAGTGTTCTTAGCTTCTTTTCAACGTTTCCCTCCAATTCTCCACCTTCCATCATAATTAACCTGAACTATGTGTTGGAAATAAATAAATAATTCAACTGACTAGTCCTACAAAACGTAACTGAAAAGCTCAACAAAATAATACCCCTTTCACAAAGCACACACTGATTAAAGTGCATAGTGGTGATCCAAATTGATAGAGTATCACCATGCAGCCCTGGCGATCTGGAACTCACTATGTAGATTAGGGTATCCTCAAACTCACAAAAAAAAAAAAAAAAAAAAAAAAAAAGAAAGAAAGAAAGAAAATAACAACAACAACCTCTAAATGACTTTTATTTCCCCAGTGCTGGAACTGAAGACATGTACCATCACGCTGGTCCAAGTGCTTCAATTTTATCCTCAATATAAAAGTTAAAACTATTGATTTAGTTTTCTTTAAAACAATTTTGTCACTTATTCACTATATTATATATTTATTTACTATAACATACAGTTTTAAATAGTACAGTTATCCAAAATCACAATAACACTGCTCTTTTAAGATTGCTTACTATAATATATACAATGTACATCTCTAGTTTTCTGAAAGTCTGTATTAAGCCATTTCCTTAAAGATTAAGGTAAAGAGTTCAAAACTTTCTTCCAAGACAATAACACTCTAAGAGCAATTTAAAAATGTTATTCCTATTACACACAGACTTCTGTGTTCATTACGGCTTCAGGAAGGAAACAGACCATTTCAAATGGCCAGTTCTCTAGAAATAGCAAACAAAAATATTATTTGACTATCTTGCTAGCAAAATGTATTATCTATAATATCTAAAGTATCTCCAACATCCTACAAATGTTTTATAAACAAAAGGCTCTTAAAATAAACTGGGATGACATTAGACAAATATGTAAAGAAGGGAGTTACAAAAAGGAATTCAAGAAAGAAAACTCTGAGAGGCTTCCTCACTTAGTACATGATACATCTATATATCTATTACCAAATGTGACTTATCATATACTTTTTGTGGGACCCTTTGGTCAATGAAGCAAGGTTGAGACCATGCTCAGCAAATGATACAGCCCAGACTGAAACACAGGTTGATTTCAAACTGAGGTTCACCCCATTTCCATTTAATTCAAACTCCACAGAAGGTCATATCTGAATCTCACTGGGAAACAAGTCTGCTTGAATAGCAGCCAATCAACAGAGAGCAGCATTTACCTTGAGGAACGACAAAGGTTTCCTTCTGGATTAAGCTTTAGGTTGTTATTTTTAAATTAGGGACTACAAAAAAAAAAAAGGTACCTTCTAAGAGATAACTGTATTTGGTAAAATTGTTATATTTAATAGTGAATGAGTCAATTTCAAGTTATTATTTCATAAAAAGAAATGAATTTACCTAACTTTTGACTGTTCTATAATAATGTTTTAATGCACATCCTCATGTTCTTCTTATATAATGTCAGCACCTCATATCATACAGCTCTTATGACAAGCCCAGTTCACTCCCATTCTTCCAAGAGTACGGTTGAGAGGCTGAGACAAACAGCAGATATCTGTGAGACCTACAGTATTTGCTATCTAGCTCCACACAGAAAAGTTTTCCAGCTACTACTGTCAAGCTCAACACTACCACAAGGTATTTAAAAAAAAAAAGAAACAAAACAGAAAGCTTCAAAGACTTCTGAAAATCTGAAAAAAAAAAAATCCAAAAAACCCCCATGCATCATTAAAATCCTAAAACACTCAAGCGTCCTAAGCAGTGTCAAGTGTTTGTGCTTCATTCATCTGGAGCTGATACTCTGATGTTCTTATAGGATAGCCACCCTTTTAGTAAACCAGAGCATCCCTAGTGTCTCCTCCCTCTCACCAGTTCCATAATTCTTGAGGTCTTATACTTGTAAGCTTGTATACCTGTATACTTGAAAAGCTCATATTTTCAGTGCAAGTTTTATTCTATATTCAGGCTCCTCCCTCCTTTTTTCCACTACACTGAAACTTCAGCAAGAACACGGAAACAATCCAGTAACACTAAACAATACTTAATAACTTTGCATTTCCCCATTATATATAAGGCATGAGAACAAATCTTGATGTTTCTTTTTTAAAGAAACTGTAGCAAAAATAATAAATAAATAAAAATTAAGTGTGTTGTGTAATAAAGTATAGGTACAATTAGTTAACAGACAAATTTACAAATACAGGGACAAAAAAAACTCGAAACTTCCAACTCTAAGAACAATCTAAATAATAGGCAATTTAAAATCCCAAACTATAGTGGTCAAAACTTGATATGCAAATGTTCTTGGTAGTCAAACTTTAAAATGCCTGTATTTTCACTGTGTATTAATTAATTAATTTATAAAGAAGCTACACTGAATGTTAAGGTAGTATATGGATTTATGGTTACTGCACTTACTATTTTATTAATAGAAATATTTGACACTAAATTTTGAAAGACATTTAGTAATGTGGATATTTCAAACCTCTGTAAATTTTAATAACTTATCACTAAGCTACTTTGCAGAGTGATCATTTTTGTTCTGAACAAAATTGTAAAAAAAAAAAAATTCAATATTTACGTTAAAATAAATAGTCGTTTAAAATTTCCTAACAACAAATAAAAATGTGTATGATGCTACAAAAAAAAAAAAAAGTATTGAATTTAGTGTTTGGTGTATGGAAAAAGAGGCAGCCTCCCTGTCTGACTCTAAGAATGCCCTTTACCAGAATTTAGTATACATCATTAAAGGCAAGTTGAGACAGGAAAAAAGCGGTTACAGATAAATGCTAGGGACCAGCCTTTTCCACATATCATCAAGTCCTTGAATTGTTATGCCCAGGCTACGTCCTTGGTTTGGTTACTAAGTAGTTCCACTAGACCCAATGCTGATCTGTCCTTCTGCACTGTTCCCAGACAAGCCTGTTTCCCTGTACTTGCTGGATGAATTCATCAGGAGCACAGGTAAGGTGCACCTGTGGGAAGTGCAGGAGCGAAAGCCTAGTGCAGCTAACATTTTAAACGTCAATGCTGTTCCAATGGATGGAGTAAGAACAAGAACCACGTAGGAAAAATCGTTACTGATGTGATAAAGTGTGGAACCAATTAGGAAGCATTGCCACAGTAATAGATGTGTTAATAAAACACAACGGTATGTTCCGGGGCTTACAAACAAATTTCTTACAAAAAGCAGCAAGATAGGTTCAATGGCAAGTGGGACTTCTGTATTCTTTCCCATCTAATCAAATAACACCTAAATGGAGTCATTTTTACATAGGTTAAAATATTTTATTTAAAAATTCTGTGCCTCTGGGGTGTCAAATTCAAGATCCACAAATGCTAGAGAGGAATACTGCTATTCAACTACAGACAGCCCATCCCTGAACTAAAGATACTTGTAAGATACAAATTACATATAACTTGACACTGGTCTGTTGCATTTTTAAAGGACATCCAAGATCAATATTAAATGCCTTCCAAACTAATAATATTAGTGTTTTTCAATGTTTTATAGAGAAAGAGAAATATTTATTTTTATGGCATATTGGTTAATAGGTTCAGACTATGTTACAAATGGATTTTAACAGCTTACTGCTTTGTGAGATTTAAAAATATATACAGCATATATAAAGTAAAAAAAAATTATAGTTATAATTTTTCCAGAGTTCACCCAAAATCCTAATAATACTATAATAAATATACACAGGAAGATACAAATAATGGTAAATAGAAAGAAGAAACTAGAATATAAATCTAATAAATGGCGTCAAAGTACCTGTAGGGGAAACTTAAAAATCTGTCTGTTTCCTGTATCTGAAATGACTGAAATTTCAGATTATGCCATTACAAAATAAACCACTAGGTGGAGGTAAAGAACTTACAGTTGGCGAAGTTGCTGCAGAGAGCAAAGGTAAAATTCCTCCACAGGCAATGATAATGTTGTCTACCATCTGGGAAATGAGGTGAATCGTGTTATGTACAAAAATAATGTTTTCATTGCTGTTGACAAAATCCATTACAGACTTTGTAGAATGGCTGAAACAGAAAAACGTGATTATTTCCTTTGTGTAACTGCAAGAGGTTTAGATACTTTATCCAAAATAAGAATTTTAAAGTGAAAACTATTAACAAAATATAGAAGTGCTAGACAAATTTAAAAGACAGTTATCAGAACAAAACCAACTCAAAATTCAGACATTTTACCAAAATATAATTATTTCTGCAAGGATGGTGTGCGTGTGTCCCCATGTATATTAAACAAATACAATATTCTTGTTCTTTCTTGGTTTTTAGAAGAATAAATATCACTACTCCATGGCTGACCTAGAACTCCCCACACAGGTAGTCCAAGTCCATTTCACATTTCTAAGACACCCCAGTGGCTCTGTGAATTTAACTAAACTAGCTTGGCTGCAGCCTGTGGAGAGGAAGTTTCACATGTGGTTCTGAGCACACTCTTTACCACAGGGGGGAAATAGGTGATGTGAAGTATCACTGAAGGGAACTGGCAGATGTTTAAGAATTATTGCTAATGAAAAGGAAGACTCTAGGTCAGCAGCAGAATTTTCCATATAAAATATGCAATGAAGGTGCCAACAAAATATACTACTTTATTGTGATTAGACACTCTCCTGTATCCTCATTTTTTAAAATTTTACACTTATGTTTGGAAACCCTCAGGAGCATCGATAGGCAGTTTGTTGTTGGAAGAAAAATTAGGCAAATCATCTTTTTCACGCCTCACATGGACATTCACATCAGCAGTCATGCCTTTCCTGCTATTTATTTTCCTTAGTCATCTCCTGGTCCACAGCATGCAACATTAGCAATGAGTTTATGCCCAGCTTACAGACTAAGCAAATCCAACATGAAAACTCCCTTGGCAGACACACTGACAGCTTGCTCAGCAGCCATGTCATCTTCCAAAAAGAACATTGCAAGTTTTGTTCCATGCACTAGTTGGCCTCATCAGTTACTGGGTTCTTTTTAAAATATTTTTATTTTATTTTTTATTAATTACACTTTATTCACTTTATATCCTCCCCATAAACCCCTCCTTCATCCCCTCCCAATCTCACCTTCCCTCCCCCTTCTCCACGCATGCCCTTCCCCAAGTCCACTGATAGGGGAGGTCCTCCTCTCCTTCCTTCTGATCCTAGTCTATCAGATCTCATCAGGAGTTGGCTGCATTGTCTTCCTCTGTGGCCTGGTAAGGCTGCTCCCACAGAGGGCCTCTGAAAGGCTATGCCCTACAGACTATCAAAGCAAATGCTGAGACTTATGGCCAATTGTTAGGCAGAGTGCATGGAATCTTATGAAAGAAGAGGGAAATAGTAAGATCTGGAGAGGACAGGACAAGGAGAGCAACAGAACCAAAAATTCTGAGCACAGAGGTCTTTCCTGAGACTCATACTCCAACCAACTACCATGCATGGAGATAACTTAGAACCCCTGCACAGATGTAGCCCATGGCAGCAGTGTCCAAGTGGGTTCCCTAGTAATAGGAACAGGGACTGTCTCTGACATGAACTGATTAGTTACTGGGTTCTTAATCAGCACTGGTCTACATAGCCTAGTCATTAGAAACCCATTTCTTTTTGAAGGGTGTTTTACAAATGTATGTACAACCTCATAGACCACATGGGAGAAGTTTTTTAAGGGACTTCAATCAAAAGAAAGAGAAAAGAAAAAATAGAGCAGGGAGAAGAAAAATAGTGAGGGGTGGAGGGAGAAAGGCAGGAGTGTGCCTTTCAACATAGACAACTACAAGTGGCCACCTTTAATCCTAAAGGAGAACAAGGAGAAGTAGATTAGACAGCCTCAGTCTGAGGATGTGACAGAGCAGATTAAATCCCTGAAGATAAGGTATTTTGTGGCTTCCAGCCATCAACTTCCAACATTTACACACTCTGAACATGTGTACACACTTTGACACATCTCCTGATTTAGAAATGTGTTGTGAATCTGCTAGTAGAAAACTGTATTGAAGAGTAAAAAAAAAAAAAAGCAGCCACCTAATTCAGATAGATTTAAACCAAAATCCAATAACTGCTTATACACATAGGTTCTAGTGGCATACATGTCATAGGCTACTTTAACTTGTTTTGGTAATAAATGTTATCATATTGTTACTAAACAATAGCTCATAGTATTCAGTTTAACAAGAAAAGATGCAGTTACAGAAGAATAAACCAAAACTGATCTTTCTTTTTTGTGTGTAGAAAAAGCAATTCCACAGTTTAAAATTCTGCTTTAACTCTCTCCCTCTCTCTTTTAACTCTGTTAAGCTAAATGGTTTACATTGACAGAGATTTTTGTGCTCTGGACATCATAAAAAGTATGCTCTATATAAATATTTGTCTATCAAAATCTTAAATATTTAATTTTTAGACAAATTTAATTTGTATATTTTACTTGATGAAATAAATCATTTAGTTAGTTGATACAGTAAATAAAAACATTCATTTTCTCAGGCTAGAGAGTTGGCTCAGTGATAAAGAACACTTTTTGTTCTTTCAAAGGACCTGGGTTTAATTCCCAACACCCATACAGTGGCTCATAACCATTTGTAACTCCAGCTCCAGGAGATCCAACACCCACCTCTGACCTCACAGGCACCAGGCCAGGCCAGACATACATTCAAAGCAAAGGACACACACGTATAAAATATTTTTTTTAAATATTCATGTTCTTAACTGAAGGGCATCAAAATGCAGAGAAGAAACAACTGTACCTTCTCCACACATGCACATCTGTCTCCAACGCAAACAACAGGTCAGTGAGAAGGCGCTGGTGCATCGGAGACCACTTAAACTCAGGAATCCGGAACATGGTAGTCCGGGGACCAGGGCTGAACTGGCGCCGCTGTTCCTCAGTCATTGGCATTCCCCGAAATCCTAAATCAACTCTGAGATCTCGATCTTGTTGGGTGACAGACCGGCCCTGAACAGCCTAAACAAAGAGAAGGGAAACTTTTGTGGAGCACACAAGAAGTGTGAGAATCAAAACCCAGTGTGAATGACCGAGTGAGTAGGAGCTTTACGTGTGACATTAGTCGGTGAGGGCCCTTCAAAACCTGGACAGAAACCTGTCTCATCTAAAGTCTGCTAGTGGGACTTCCGTTTTTATACAGCAGAATCTAGGCAAGGTCATCAAAAGACAACACTAAAGTTCTTACTAAAAACCAGATTTTCTTTTCCTAGTCACAGCATCTTCATGCTGGTTAAAAAAAAAAAAAAAGCCTTTCATGCAAGAAAGCATACATGCAGTGGGGACAATGGATACACATCATCAATTAATTAGAACTAAAAACACATGGTGAGAAGAAATACTACTGGCTGGGATTCAAATTAACTTCAACGTGCATTTCACTCACAATACTTCAATAAAAACACACTGTATGATGTTAGAAAGGAAGGCAGAAAAATACCTGTGCATTCTCAATGAAAAACAGGCAAGCCTAGTGATTACTGTGCCCAGTAAGTGATGATGTTTTCCTTTGGGTGAAATATGTACCTTATTCAATATTCCCTTTCCCTGCCAATTATCACTGAAGTATAACTGCCATCAAAATGGAAAATGGCAGTTAACAAACAAAAATAAATATAACTTTCCCACACATAGAATGCATCGTCAGTATTCTTACTTAAGTACAAAGACAACAGAACGACATGGCTTACTCTTTCCAATATAGGAGGGATGGAAACATAAACTTACCTTCAATGAGATGAAAAGGCAAGGAGAAAGTCCATAGGGTTAGCAAAACTCAAATACTTAAGTGTCATAATCTCATTAACTCTTAACCATAAAATATCAGTTTAGTCCAAAAATTACATAGTCTTAACTCAAATTTGTCTCAAAAGACATAGTGCTTTCAGCCTTACTGCAGACTGGCCCAAACCACAGCACTAACATTTGCTAACCACCAGGCCCAAGCAGCTTCCTTAGAAAAATAAAAATAACAAATTCTCTCCTTGTGTTTTTAAAGAAAACTCTCATTGGTAATAATTCCAAATTTTCTCATCTATATTACCTATCTCACAGGGTGTAGTGGGGCTGGAATCTGAAAAATCTATTACAGTGCCTGGAGCATGGTAGGCATTTGAGAGATAACAGTCCCTTTCCCTATCGCTCATCCATCTCTTCAAGGTGGCTCCAAGTCCTTTCTTCTATAATCCCCAGAACAGGGCTGGCCTGGATCACAGGGTTAGAATGAAGATCTCAAGGTATAAATGTAGCACTCATAAACTGTAAGCATGGGCAGAGACCTTAACGGTCATATTTTAATGCACTACAATGTCTTGTATGACAGAGGATCTTAGGACAGAGGTTAAGCAAAATTAGTGCAATGTGGCAGTACTGGGGATATAATTCAGAGCCATCTGTTCTCTAAGTTATGCATTACACAAATTTAAGCATAGTAGCATTCTAAGAAACCACTTTTCAGCTAAGAGCTCAGTGCTGACCTGACGTTTCTGTTTGTTTATTTCTAGAATTCCCACGGGACGGCTTACTTGTGTTGTAGCAGTGGTCTGGATTTTTCGGATTTCCTTTCCTGATTCTTTGCCATCATCAGATCGCTCAGTGTCTGAAATTATACTTCCTGCATCAATATTTGGGACAATCTTGCTATTGGAAGACTCTGTTTCCAAGGTTGTAGCAGTCATTTCAGCATAGTCTAGCCCCTTAGTTGATGATGCTAACTCTCTTTCAGAGACACTGCTCACTCCATCTGAAGTCGTATGAATTCTGAAGTCTTTCTCTTCCATTATACTTGATGTGCAAGTTAAGTCTACACTCGCAGTCATGTGAGCAAGCAGTCCAAGATCATCACTGACACCAAGATGTACTTGGGCGTCTTGAATATTTGGGATGATGTGATTGCTAGAAAGTTCTGGAAGTAGTTTCTCTTCCTGTTTGGGTATTTTATCAAAGAGGAAGGATGTGCTACTGTTTGGAAGCTCCTCCTTTTCATCTGCTAGTGTGATCAATGGACCATTGTCCTTCTCTTCATTCTTGTTAATGATGCCCACACTTCCATGCACATTATTCTGGAGTTTCTCAACAGCAGCACTGTACACATTATCCAACAAGGACTCCACCTCCACGAGGGCGCCGTTCTCTCCACCCACCAAGGTCTCTGGTGATAAATCCATGTCATCAAGCTTTACTTCCGTTGCTTCCACTTTCTCTGCTTTTATATCAACTAGAAGATCATGTACTTCTACATGCACCCCACTGCCAGGTCTGTCTGAACTTCCGAGAATATCATCCGATACTTTGGTTGACATGAGCAAGTCTCGTGTGTCGGTGCTCACTGGGTAGTCTGTCTCACTCTCTGGACTCTGGCTTTGGGAAAGGTCTTCTATTTCCCGGATCTCCATTCCTCCTTTTGCCCCTGTCGTCTGTGATGAAAGGCCAGAGATGGTGCTCACATTTCCCTTCTTCCCCTTCTTAATGTTCTCCTCCTCTTGTCGCTGATACTCCTCATACATTTTGGCCAGATACTCTTTGTGTGCTTCATAAGTAACCTAGGCAGTAAGTGAAGAGAACACTGAGGTGCCATGTACATGCCGAGAAAGACAGTAATAACAGCAACAAAATTTCTGTAGAAATGGTACAAGGAATGTAAAAATTTAGTGTTATTAAGTAACTGGTTTTATTACGTAATTGGAAACAATGATGAAATACAGCAAAACATTACTTCCTGACTTGTCTCTACACACATGGGTAACTGCAAAATTAAGGTTCCTCTGTATAGGATAACTTTTCCAACGTTAAGCAACATCAGATGAGAACTTGTGAACACTCTTTAGGCTTAAGGACTTGGCAGATGACAATATTCATCATCAAAACTACTATTACTATGACAGCTTTTACACAGCTACTGTAGTATTTTCACCCATCACAACCACTACTGAAAGTACCACAGACGAATGTGTAAACATAAGACATTTCTAAGGCACTATATAAGTTTTATACACAGACAGGGTACTGAATTAGAAATATCAGAATATGTTCTGAGCAAGAACTTGCAACATCTTCTTTGTTATACAAAAATGTATTAAAGCAATGACAAATACAAAGTGTGCATGTTGCAAAACGCAGGGCTACAACAGACAAAAATTCTTTTAAAGTTTTCTAGTATTAAAAATAAATCTTTCCTTATAGGAATTAATCTATAGTAATCTGAATATTAATGGGTTGTTTTTTTTTTTTTTTTTTGGTTGACCTTTCTTCAAAGAGTGTCATATGAAACCTTTTCCTACAGAAAAAAACAAAACAAAAACCTCCCCAATAATGGAGGCTGGCAACCTACCACCCATGGGCCACATCTGCCTGTCATCTATTTTAATGAGTAAAATATTATTATAATGCAATCATGTTTATTGATGTTTTTTTACTCTTTGCTTTACACAGATGATTTGAGCAGCTTCATCAGATGCAGACAAGAAAGCCAACACATATATTATTTGACCTCTAAAATCATTTTTCTAATTCCTGTTAAAAATAACTGAATGAGTTTTCCAAACCAAAAGACTTAACTGCGACATAACCGGATTAGTGGCCTAATTTCAGATGGCCATGTTCTTCTCTGTTGCTAGGGGTTGAGGAATCACAACTTTGAATCATTAAAATATAATGTGCACATTCATGTACTATTGTCCTTGTCAAAGACAAATGAATATTTAAATTTTAATACAGATATAGAATCTTAAAATTAAAAATATTAACTAATACTACATATAGTAGTTTGAGTAACAAGAACCCCAATAGGCACCTATGCTTCAATGCTTAGACACTAGGGAGTGGTACTGTTTGAGAAAGATTAGAAGTATCTGGAGGTGTGGCCTTGTTGAAAAAAGTGTGTCACTGTGAGTAGGCTTTAAAGTTTCAAAATCCCACATGAGGACCAGTGCCTACTGCCTCTGGATCAGGATGTAGCTCTCAGCCACTTCTCCAGTGCCATGACACCACGCTCCCCACCATGATGACAATGAAACTGTAAGCAAGCTCCAAATTAAATGCTTTCTTTTATGAGCATTGTCTTGGTCCTGGTGTGCCTTCATAGCAATAGAACACTGACTACAACACTACAACTAAAAGATTATTAAGTGTGCATGCTTTTATTCTCAACACTAGGGAGGCAGAAGCAGAGCCACCTTTGTAAATTTAAGATCAGCTTAGTCTACAAAACAAGTTCCAGGCGAGTCAGAACAACATAGAGACACTGTCTCAATACATACATATGTATGCATATATATACATATATATGTATATGCATTTTTTGGCTAGAGGAACTGGCTAGCCTGAGAGCCCTGGGATTACCCACCTGGCTCCCTAGCACTGGAGGTGAAATGTGCGCAGGCATGCCTAGCCTGTTATATGGATGATGGGATCCAAATTCAGGTCCTTATGCTTGTATGAAAAGCCAAGACCCACTTAAATGTATTTATTATTCATTTAAGAATTAAAAAAAATCTGATTACTTTAAAAGCACATTTTAAAAGTATATTTCAGCTACTATTTCATGAAAAATGCTTGTAAGAATTGGGTATGGTTTAGTTGAGAAACAACTGGTTCAAGCATTTACAGTAAAATTCCAAATTGAGGGGACAGTGAGATGGCTCATCAGAGAAAGATATTTGCCACCAAGCCTGAATACGTGAGTTCAATCCCTGAAACCTAGAGGTAGAAGGAGAGAACCAACTCCCCAAAGGCACCCCCTAACTTTCAAACATTCAAGCATGTGCACATACACACACACACACTTTAACTTTTAAGTATTATTAAAACATTCCTAATTTATAAAACTTTATGTTTGAGCTAAATGATCTTGAAACCACCTTTAGGCTTTCCAGTCTCACCAAAGTACAGAAAAGGTACATAGACAAAACTAGCATAGAGGAATGACTGGGAATGTCCACCAGGTGGCACCAGATGAGAGTTTATAACCATTTACTCCACTGAGGAAACCAGCGCAGAACATGCTAGACTCCTATTACCTTGGAATGAGCTATTGAGAGTGTGTCCACCCAGACTCTCCAGCCTCCCCATTCATATTTTATTGCATGATACAAAAGAATCCGGAAAATGTTGTAGACCATCTCAGTAATTTTCTGTTCCTCAGAAGTTTTTGGATTGATATACCCAAGAGAAAACATCCAGTCCTGCCACACTGAACACTGCAGTAAGCATCTAGGGAGAAAAAAGAGCTCATTAAAAATTTCAAAATTAGAATTCACTCCTTTGAAACTTGGTTAAAGTAATTGAAATATAATCTGAGTACATAATTATTCTACGCTTTTTAAATTGTATAATTTCCATCAGTTTCTCTCTTGAAAATTTTGAATTATTAACTAACAGCACTTCCTAATTCTCCTGGTCAGAGTGAATTATTGTTTCTAGGTGTTCTCATCACTGTTAGCACACGCAATACACCCAGCTGTATCTACAGGCACGTCAGTCCTGCACAGCCTGGGTACCACAATGCTTCACACATAGTCCGGAAGACTTGTTAGACACACAGGAAAGGCCCACAGACCCAGCCTGTACAGCACGTCTGAGCTAAGGCACTTCAAGTGCATGACAGGAGAACACTGGTGAACATGGAGGCAAACACCCACATGGTCACACAGTGAACGCTTAAAGGCACCGTTGGTGACAGATGTCTGGGATAGTGACTACACTGTAAGTATAAAAATGGTTGTTTCTGTATATCCATACATCTACTTAATTGTGTATACCAGGACAACTAAATAAAAGCACATAAAATTGGTGAAAGTATGATGAAGTAAATATCTACGAAACACATGCCATTTCAAGGGATTTAAGAGTATTTAGCAAAATATTTGGATCTTTTTGAAAGTTGTTGAAAATCGAGAACAGAAAAAAAATATTAAGCTAGAATAAAAATCAGACAGTTTACCTTCTATTTTCACGGCTGTTACTGAAAAGCTTAATCATGTCAGATAAAAACAACCGACGGACTTCCATCAATTCTGCGCTTGGTGTTGAGTTTTTTAACAAAGTTGCCACCACCTTAAGAATCACTATAAACAAACACAGTCTGAATTAAAATGTAAAAAGACATGTCACATTCACTAATGTTCAACTAAATGCTTGTAACGGGGACCCCAGAAAGCACAGGCAGTTAGGAAAGTTCTGATTCAGTCCCGCACATCACCACATAACTAGCACATAACACTAAAAAGCGGCGTCCACTCACTGGGGTTCTGAATTTTCACTGTGGAGTCCGGCTCTGGGTGGGGTTTATGCACAACTTGTGTACACACTTGCTCTGTCAAGATCTGAAACATGAAAAATGTTAACTTCATTTAGAGAAGAAAATTAAAAACTGCAAAATATAGCTATAAGTAAAGAATCTGTAAATATTTTCAAGAATTTCAAATCAAAAGAAATATTTCTCCTCAAAGAACTTTCTAAATTACACATGCCTTAAATTATGAAGTCTATACCTCTTTTACTTACTTTGGATTAAGGCAAAAGCCAGACACTGTATCCACAGAAGGAAAGAATAACTGGCTAATATAAAATTTGTTCTGTTTGAAATATGTTTTCAGCATACACTTTTAAAACAACCCTGTTTTGAATTATAAATATTTGATGTTTTTGTGTCATGTTGATTAAAAAATCAGTAAATGTTATTAACATTATTCCTCATACAAGGAAAAAAATCTAAAATTTGTATTTCTAATTTCGACTAAAATATAAGCTTAAAATCCTCAAGAAAAACTGCACATCTTGGTTTAGTTCCTATGATTAGCACGAAGAAATTACATCAGTAGTCATGTGATAGCATGAACGACCGAGTGACATATAAATAATGCATGTGGCCACTCATGTATTCTAGACTTTAACCATATTTGTCTCTATTATTACATTTATCTTCCTGTCTGCCTATATGCACAAAAGTTCAGTAGATAATGCATTTCACTCAGAGCTAAAATGTTATACTCTGAATAAACATCTTTTCTTTAAAAAATTTTTATTTATTATTTATTACAGTTTATTCACTTTGTATCCTGGCTGTGGCCCTGTCCCTCATCTTCTCTTAATCTGTCCCTCCCTCCCTCTGTTTTCTCCCTCCTCATCCACTGATAGGGGAGGTCCTCCTCCCCTTCTACCTGACCCTGGCCTATGAGGTCTCATCAGGATTGGCTGTATTGTCTTCCTCTGTGGCCTGGCAAGGATGCACCCTCCACACACACACACACACAGGAGGAGGTGATCAGAGACCCTGACATTGAGTTCATGCTAGAGACAGCTCCTGCTTCCCTTACTAGGGAACCCACTTGGAGACTGAGTCTATGAGCTACATCTGAGCCAGGGTTTTCAGTCCTATCCATGCATTTTCCTCACCTTGAGTGAAGTAAGCCAGAAGGAAAAGACACACATGTTATATATTCACTCAAAAGTAGTTATTAGACATATAAATTAGGCTAAACATACTAAAACCTATAGTCCTAAAGAAAGTAAACAACAAGGAAGACCCTAGGGAAGATGCTTAATCCTCATTCAGAAGGGCAAATGCGATAGACATTGGAAGAGGGAAAAGACAGGAAGCAGGACAGGAGCCTTCCACAGAGGACCACAGAAAGACTCTACTGATGGAGGTATCAAAGCAGAGGCTGGGACACAGAGCCAAACTTTGGGCAGAGTGCAGGGAATCTCATGAAAGAAGAGGGAGATAGAAAGACCTGGAGGGGACAGGAGCTCCACAAGGAGAGCAACAGAGACAACAAACAAACAAAAAACTGGGCCCTGGGGGTCCTGCAGAGACTGAATAAACTTTTCAAAAAACATTTCAATATAAAATCAATACAAACATAGTGAAGCAAAAAAAAAAAATCACTGTTAATTTTTTGAGTGGCTCTGCAGAGCTCTAAGGTAAAAGATAGATGGGAAAGAATAATTTAGGGTATAGGGATGATGGCTTCTGAGGAGAAGGGAGCCATGACATCTAGAAGAGAAGTGCTTTTCCCTTCTTTTTTCCTCAGGCTAAACAGAGGACAATATCTTTACATAGATAAATGAGGTATTATATATATGGTGTTTTGACTTGAAATAATATACTTGTCGATTACTACTTTAGTTATGACTACTGGAGAGAATTATTCATACCCACAGTTTAAAATGAACAATGTTAAACTAAGTCATATCAGAATGCTATCTTAACAATGTTCTTTAAACATAAGTGATTACATGGAATTGCCATGTGAGATAAAAGTCTCTTTAAATAACATATATCAAAGAACAGTGGCTACTATATACCTAAAAGGGTTTCTATGACAATTTTCCCCAAGAGCTCAAAGTACAAGTGTCCAGATAATTCTCATTATACATATAATGATACTCAAAATAACTTCATACTTGTAGGGAAAACATCAGACCATGTTCCCCTATGATGAGTCTTCAAACCTTTTTCAACCAAAGAAAATAAGTCACATGGTTCAAAGCACCACTGCTTTTCCTGTTGTCCTTTTGAATCTTTGTTCTATCATGTGATACTGAGGAAAGTAATGGTAGTGTGTATCCATAAACCTGCTACAAGATTGTAGGGTCCCTGTGCGAAAACACTTTCATGACTGTAACATATTCAAGTATGAAAGGTTTCTACAAGTTATATAAATGTACTTAGAAACTGACTAAAGCATGTGTTTGTTAAGAACCAGTTTTGTGCCCACACATTGCTTAATGTTTAGAGATGGAAAAGATTTTAGGTGAAACTACGTTTCTAGCATCGATTTACCTAATTAATGTTCTGGAGACAGGCACAAATGCATGCCTCTATTAAGCAATAAAAAATGGTAAACTGTCATTAAGAACCTATGTGAGATTTTAAGAGGGAAGGAAATAGTGTGTATAAATAGGAGAGATGAATATAGGTATAAACCTTTTAATGATGTTTAAGACTTAAAGTCGTCCCTAAGGGCTCTACTGACTTCTATGAGGCATGTACAAATGTAGATTGAGAAGCCCTCATGAACTCTGTATGCATTCAGCACCTGCAATGAAGGAACACGTTAACAGGTAGCAGTTGTGTTAAAAAAAAAAGTAGGGAAGGACTGAATTCTAAGCATAAACATCATTTTATAAGTGTGGTATTTAGTAGAAACATGTATGAATTCAGTGCTAAACATTACATTTTATTTTATTTCATAATTATTTCACTTTCCTTGTGCTACTACAAGATGTTAATCTAACGTGCTACCAATGGTAGCTTCCTTTGTGACTTACTGACTCCTAGGAGGTCACTGGAAAAACGGTGTCTTGGTCATTTTTGTTGTTATTTGCTTTTGACAAAAGATATTTTCATTGTATCATAACTTATATAATGTTGACTAGAACCTTTTCAAAAAGCTATGCACATTTTTTAAATATTGGCAGGATTGTTATGAGGACAATTAACCACACTGATGAGATTTGAGGCCCATTCCATAAGAAAGAATAAATAGCTGGTATTTTGAACCTGCTCAAAAGCTCATGGCAAGGGAGTTTATGGGCACTAGGGGGTAATTAAACTCTGTTGATTAACTAAATTGACATAGCATCCAAGTGCCCTATATATTATGTTTATATCCATAGGCAATTAACACTCTCAGCCTTAATCAGAGAAGCTCTCTTTCCAGGGAATGATGGCAAATACAAAGACTCACTGATGTGAAAAGTGCTGAAAATAAGTGACAGACAAGTGTTCAAACCTAAAGAAGATATTCATACCCTCTTCTCCAAGGCTCACGAAACACTTTAGGGTGGTAAGCTCAAAGAGTGTATGAGTCAGAAGATAAAGGACGGATGAGAAATGCTTCCTCTAGGCAGTATGCATCCATTACAATCAAGAGCTTCCAACAAGGAAGAATGACTGCACTTGGGCTGCAGAAGGCAAGGAAGGAGCAAATACTCAGGGGATGCTCAGTATGGAACTGTTTCCTACTGTGGTAGTTTAAAGAAGAATGGCCCCACGGGCTCATACATTTGGATACTTGGTCAGCAGTTGGTGAAACTATTGGGCAGGATTAGGAGGTATGGTCTTGTTAGAGTAGGCCTGCTAGAAAAAAAAGTGGGGAAAAACCTAGAACTCATTGCCACCGGAGACAATTTCCTGAACAGAACATCAACAGTACAGGCTCTAAGAGCAACAATCAATAAATGGGACCTCATGAAACTGAAAAGCTTCTGTAGAGCAAAAGACACTGTCATCAGAACAAAATGACAGCCTACTGACTGGGAAAGGATCTTCACCAAACCTATATCTGACAGAAAGCTGATATCCAGAATATATAAAGAACTAAAGAAGTTAAAAGGCAATAATTCAAGCAATCCAATTAAAAATGGGGTACAGAGCAAAACAGAGAATTCTCAGTAGAGGAATGCAGAATGGCAGAGAAACACTTAAAGAAATGCTCAACGTCCTTAGCCATCAGGAAAATGCAAATCAAAACGACGCTGAGATTTCACCTTACACTCATTAGAATGGCTAAGATCAAAAACTCAAGTGACAACACATGCTGGAGAGGTTGTGGAGAAAGGGGAACACTCTTCCATTGCTGGTGGGAATGTAAACTTGTAAAACCACTCTAGAAATCAATCTGGCGCCTTCTCAAACAACTAGGAATAGTGCTTCCTCAAGATCCAGCTATACCACTCCTAGGCATACATTCAAAAGATGCTCAAGTACACAACAAGGACATTTGCTCAACCATGTTTGTAGCAATTTTATTCGTAATAGCCAGAACAAGGAAATAACCCAGATGTCCTTCAAAAGAGGAATAGATACAGAAATTGTGGTGCATTTACACAATGGAATACTACTCAGCAATTAAAAACAAGGAAATCATGAAATGTGCAGGCAAATGGTGGGATCTAGAAAAGATCATCCTGAGTGAGGTATTCCAGAAGCAGAAAGACACACATGGTCTATACTCACTTACAAGTGGGTACTAGACCTATAAGATAGGATAAACATATTAAAATATGTACACCAAAGATAAACAAGAAAGAGGACCTGGGGTAAGATGATCAATCTTCACTTAGAAAGACAAATGGGATGGACATTGGAAGTAGGAGAAAACAAGTAATAGGACAGGAGCCTACCACAGATGGCCTCTGAAAGACTCTACCTAGCAGTGTATCAAAGCAGATGCTGAGACTCATAACCAAACCTTGGGCAGAGTGCAGGGAATCATATGAAAGAAGGGGGAGTTATTATGACCTGGAAAGGACAGGAGCTCCACAAGGACCAAATATATCTGGGCACAGGGGTCTTCTATGAGACCAAGAACCATGT